AAGAAAGAAAGAAAGAAACTGTTCCAGCAGTGGAAAGATTTATTGTATTTTTTATTAGTATAAAAATACATGCACATTTTTTACAAAAATATTCATTGCTTCCAAGTTTAGAATTAATTTCAGGRAAAAAAAAAAAAAGTAATTTACTTTAGTCATTTAGCTTTTGAGTGTGAATTTTACCATAACGAATATGCACATCTRAAAAGGAGAAGTTTGCAGATGAACTGTAAGGGCTAATGAGAGAAACCACTGGCAGAACTGCAGCAGTTGCTTCTGCAGCCACATGGAAGGCTGAACTGAGAGAGAAGGATTTTCTTTTATTTTGATTCGTGTTTTCTTTCTATTTTAAAATGGACGGTTGGAATAAAGAAACACCCAGGAGATGAGAGGAAGTGCTGCAAACACGAAGCAGCTGAGACGCTGGTGACAGTGGCATGGGGAGGGTGAAGGGGAGACATCTGAAGTCTTCACCAGCAGCCTATGGTTTCRCATCTGGCTGCTGCCCACAAGAAATGGTTGCCTGTCCAGGGACTGTGTGCACAGCTTAACAGCATGGGAAAATTACAGGCGTGCAGATCAGGAAGAAGGGGACAGAACCTCATACATAAATTAGGGACATTTTAAAGAGTGTAATGTTTATGAAGAACCCTGTGTCAGTGGAGAACCTTCCTTGGGTAAACTTATTCAAGCAGTGATGCTTGTTTTATTCTTGTTTCCATGGTGGAGTACACGTTTCGGGGGGCAGAAGGAGAGTTTGCAGCAGACATCCRTGATCTCTTTGGTAGTGTCAGCTTTGCTGCTTATAAAGCATCACTGCTTTAGCCAGCCRTGTGCGCGGTGGCAATCAAGTCCACAAGTAAGTCCACACAAATGGTGTCTTCTGCGAGCTGTCAAAGACGAGCAAAATTTCCCTACAAATTGATTTTTAAATAATTTATTGTTGGTTTTCAAATATGAAAAGATTTTTCCACTGATGTGTATTTAAAAAGTGAGTGCACGTGATGGTTTTATTTCCCATAAAGAGGTTGAGGGCTTTAGCTGCTGATGACTTTTAAATATTTTATAAAATGGCATCCATTCTGCCTCCAGGTAAAGAGGAAGTGAGGGGACAAAATGAATATCCTTCAGCTTCTCCRTGCTTCTGTGCAAGGCACAAAAGCTTGGGTTTTTTGATGATTTCTTTGTGACGTCAAAAATATGCGCACTTTGCCTTGTTTGCTACTCAGTTAAAGCCATTTGGACCATTTGTTCCCCCCACTCATGTGTTGCCCTGGCTCCCTTGTGCTGTTCTCTGCCCACACCTCACGGAGTGCCCCAGCTCTTCACCATGATCTGTACCTATTTCTGCAGCTTGCAGCTTACTGCCCTAGAGAAYGGCTATAGGGAATGCAAGAGAATTGGAAGAACTGGAAGAATTGGAAGAATTGGAGTCAAGGAGTGCTCACTATGTCTGATTTGCAGGATTCTTGCATACATTAAATCAGCATTATAAATTAAACGCAGCCCATTTCTCTGAGAACACAGACTGTAAAAGTTTATGAAGGAAAGACTATTCTAAATGAGTAAACTACAGCACATGCCTTTAAAACATGATCAGCTCGTTAGTTTTATGGAAGCATCTGAGGTTGCTGACAGTCATGGTATCTGTCACACTTAGCAGTGTTTATTGCCCTGAGTGATCGCAGGACTCCCATTTCCAATACCAGGGTACTCTGTGGAGCAGTGTGGATGCAGGGGGCATCACCCCCAGTTTCTCAGTAGTAGRTAGCACTGTCCTGTGTATCTTTGAGTGCAAAGTCTTCTGCAGCGTGGCTGATGCCATGGATTTTGGGAGAAAACCCATCATTGCTATGAGTGTCATGTGTTTGGAAGCTCCGGGCTGTGATACTAGCTGCATGTGTTGGGGGGGAATTCACTCCTCATCCTGCTTTAATTTAGCCAGACATGTTAGAGCAGGGCGTTGTGGTAGCTGGTTGTTAGATTTGTTGTTTTTTGCCCTTCCAAGTTATGTTAGGTTGTTTTCTAAGGAGCAGAAAGTTAAGTAGCCCTCKTGGTTGGAGCTGTCTGAAACCGCAGCAGGGTCAGGATTGCCCATGTCTCCATGTCTCTTCGCCACGCTAACTAATGCCTCAGGATTATTTGGCATTTTCCAGTTAAGGCTTCTGACTGGAATTTGCCTATAAATAAGTTGGGTCTGGTTTTGTTTGGTTGGTGGTTTTTTTTTTTCTTTCTTTCTTTCTTTTTTTTCTTTGTGGTTAAAAAAGACAAGGGAATAGGAAGTTGGTTAGATAAATGGATGTCTTGTTCCTGGTGCCTGGCTGACCCCAATGCAGTCCCTTTTATCAGCAGTATGGTGGCCCCAGCTGTGAGTGCAGAGGTGCCAGGAGTAATTACAAGTGCTGCTGCTATCAAGTGTGTCTCCCACTTTGTTCACAATGAGAAGCACTTTTTTTTTTTTTCCCCCCTTGTGAACTTTTCACATTCCTGGGCTGTACAAAAAGGGTGGAGTTTGCTTCTTAAGTTATTGCTATTGTTATATAACTTTGATAGCCACATTAAAGGAGTCCTTACTGGCTCCGTGGAGCTTTCTGGAGACTGTTGGGTGTTAAATGGGGTTCTCTGCTTGGTGACCTCCAACAGCAGCTGACGTCTCCTGATCTAAGCCCTTCCTGTTGTTTCACTGGTGACGGTTAGTTTTCTATTAAGCTCATTTGAGTCCTGCACATTTTTACCCTCTGCCCTTAAAGGGAGGGACTAATGTTAGTTTTGGCTTCTGATCGAAACTTTACAGTGCAGGCTTCAAACGGAACAACTGCAGAAGGGAAAGATAGACAAGGTAATATATTAATCACTCTTAGCATCATGGCATTCCTTATTTACAGCTGACTTCAGTATGGCTGTTACCTGATGGAATTTTTTCAATGATGTAAAGCATTCCCAGTACTAGGCATCATACAGGGTTTTTTGTTACTCACCAAAATTCATGAGTTTTGCTTAAAAAATCATGGCATTTAAAAACTAGTAATAATGCGTATTTGGTATTTCTGTCTGCCTTTCAGTGTTTTAACTTCAGGGGGACACAGAGGTCACATTTTCAGATTTTCCTCCATAGCCCTGAGGGCTAGAAACTCAGAAATGAAGGCTGAGGTTGTCACAGAATTAAATTCTTCTAGGAGCTTCAGGGGGGGATGAGAGAGGAAGAAAAAAAATCAATCACGTGACAAAAATCCAAGAGCAGGCAACACTGAAAATATGTTGTCAGTATGACAGTAAGTGTCAGTGTGACTGTATGTCAGTATGACTAGTAAGTGAGAGGCAAAGGGCACTTTCTTTTATTGCTGATGAGTGAAGCTACCTAAACTAAATCACAGTGCTGATTTAAATTACATAGATTTTACTTAAACCTAAATAAGCAAAGAATTTCATCACCACACTTTTGTGCCAAGCTATTTCGCAGCTTCTTGACAAACTTAGAGACGAGAAGTAAGAGCAGGGTAGAGTTTCAGTCATAACTCTGGGTTTTGTATATTTAATCAATTAGATTTTTAGAATCAGCCAAAACGTTTGTTCTGAGAGGGGTTACTGTCTTCAGGCTTTCAGATTGAAATCTGGCCACTTTAAAGCCAGAGATGGGGCCCTATCAATCCACTTCTCTTCTAGTGTGTATGCAACCCAAAATTTTATATCAGGACAGTTGCTAACAAAATAGTTCATGGTATTATTGGATCACACAAATTACAGCAAATTCTGTACTATTCAACACATATAAAACTAAGCACTTCAAGCAGAATAGTTGACTTTAAATTGACAGGTTGTATGTATGATTTTACAGTACATGTATGTGAATTGCTGTGTTGAGCTAGGGCTAAAAACTAAAGAACTGTTTTTGTTTTGTTTTGTTTTTCTAGTTAAGCACAAATTAGATTATGCAGCTTAATGCTATTGAAACAGAGCTTCACTTCCATAAAATTAACAGATTAAAGAGTTCCTGAAAGCACTGGCCAAAATGCAAGAATTAAAAATATTTTTAGGAACAATTTTAAACAACTCTGAACCAATCCACAAATGAAAAACCTCATTTTCATATTTATTTGAAGATACAAAAAATATTTTGAAATCAGGAGGCTTTATTTTCCCCTAGCATTATGTGTTTAATTTGGACCTACTATGTTCTAGACCTTCCACTGAATCAAAAACCAAAACAAAGAGACTTCAAAAGCCATTGTTGCTCCATTCAAGTCTAAACTCTGCCTTTGTTCCTATAGCTAATGAGTTTATACTGTCCTGCAGGGAGAATTGACACCAGCCTCAAGTAAATGAAAGCAGGCCAAATGCTGGTAAGATCAGAGCACTAAAGTAATTATGGGTTGATTAAATGTTTATCTTCTTTACAGGTGGGAAGGGAAGAATGAGAATGAAATAGGACGGTGCAAGGAGACTGGCAAGATTCATGTGACAGTCAATCACAAGTACTACAGGCCAACTGAAGTGGTAAGAAAATGCCCTCCCTTAGCTTTGCAAATGAATAATCCAATCACTCAGCCAATAAATTGCTGCATTTGGCCAGCAGTCTGTGAAAATGGCTTAATGGCATTTGCTGGCTGTTGCCAGCTTTTAGAGCTCTAAATTAGGCTGCTCCTTGTCTGCTTCRTAATCAGCTACCTGAAAACATCCAAACACATCAGGAGAAGCAGCTTTACCTGGTCACCCAGCCAAGGTGACTCAGAGATTGACTCGTCCAAGCAGAGACTTGGGTCTCTGGATGGGAAAGGGGTGTGAAATGTCACCCCCTAGGAAACAAAATAAAATTCAAGTCAGTGTGTAGCTGCTTTTGGTATCAAATCAGGGTGTAATCATTTCTCCTCTGACTGTGAGAAAAGGAGGGAAGGTGTGTGCTGCAATATGCTTGCTTTGTGAAATACTTCCCTCTGCATCTTAGTGCAGGGGCTCCAACTCCACCCAGTGAGCATCACTTGCTCCGCTCAGGTCTTTGCAACTCTTGGGATCACAAAATACCCATTTTAAAAGCTCAGAAGTGTACCTGTGTGCCGTTTCGTTGGGTGTTTTGCAGAGCACCACTTAGTAAATGCTTATGTCCACCTGATGCTCTAGGTGACCCTGCTTGAGCAGGAGGGTCGCTTCCAACCTCAGCCATTCTGTGATTCTGGCCTACCAGTGAAGCCTGGCCAGGGAATTCAACCAGCACTAACCAGCCCACTAACCTCCAAACTGACTCAGCTGGTTAGGAGGAAAAAAAGAAAATCCTGCTTACAGCTGAGGTGGGATGGTGGCAGCACCTGGAGCAGGCAAAGGACAAGGCCCAGCTTTTGGACACAGCAGACAGTGGTCCCAGTTGTGCTCGCTGGGAGCGGGTGTGCCCAGGAGAGGATGTTCTGGTCTCCTGGCTGGGCTGATACCAGCCCCAGCGGGTGCTGACACAGCATGGGCTGTCGGTCGGGGTGTTCAGAAGCGCTGCCTTCAGCTTCCTGCTGCAAGCAAGGTGTGACAGGAGCACATTTGTCCTGACACAGATTGCAGGGTGGAAGTGGGGAGCTGTGTGTGCATAAATGAACATCGGACCTCAAGTGGGTGTTCAGAGGGGGATAGAGACTTTCATGTTATGCAATTATTTAAGAGGGCTGGTCCTGAGTATCAGAATCAAACGCTAGGAAGTCATTAAGGGCTGTCTGTCATTCTGTGCTGTGCTAAGGTGTCAGGATGATAAGGAGAACACAGAGACAAAAGGACTTGCCAAACAGGAAAAGGACACTTGACCCAACAAGTCTGTGCTTTATGAGACCCATTTTCCTGCCTTGTCATACTTCTTGCTCACAAGTATCTATTTACTCTTCAAAATTCAGCCATAGTACATTCTTATACTCACTTCCTCACCATTTTCTGTTGAAGTAGTTTTGTCCATGATCTTCCATCTGCCCTTACTGGTCATCTTTTTGGGACGCAAGTTCTGTATTTCAGATTCAGCTCACTATACACTGTACATTTTGAGGCAGTGCAGAAACATAGGTTTAATCTTGCTCTTACACTGACCCCATTTTTTCTTGCCTTTAACAAGCTCCCTGATCTGTTACTGTGGAATCCAAGAAGCCCATGAAGCTGCTCTAGTAAGTTGGGGCAGAAGCAGAAAATGGGTTTTGAGGGAAAATGCAGATGAACTGTTAGCATACTCCTATATCACTAGTGGCATTGCAGGACTTATTGCATGTTGTCATTATCTCGTTGGAGTATACAAAAGAGGTGCTAATTTTCTCAGGCTATGAAAGAGCAAAGACTGGTCTATCTTTGCGACGTGTCATTTCAAACTGGTTTCATCTTATCTGATTTTATTTAGCTTTTCTAAGTTGACTCTGCACACTCTGTTATGCTCACATGTTCAGAAATGGTAAGGTGTGTGTGTCCRTGTGATGTAGGCAAGAACACATGGAGGTTGGACTAGATGACCTCTGGAGGTCCCTTCCAACCCTAAGCATTCTATGATTCTAATATTCATGTATGGCATAAAGGACAGCGTCACCAAGTATCAGATCCTCAATATGTCTTCTGAGTTTCTCTTSATTGACTGCAAGTTGACTGACACTATTTTTTGGACAGTTATTAATATTTTTATACTAATTGCATTTCTGACATACTGCCGTCAGTCATCCAGCTTCTGAATGGAGATTTCTTTGGAATTTTTTCTCCAATGGGAAGCAGTAAAAACAATCAATCAAATTCTAACTTTTTCCATAGTTGATACAAACAATGAAAATCCAACCTAAATTCTCACGTATACAACACTTCTCAAAACTATTAAGAATTGGATAGATTTTTAGTCTGCTACATCTGCATGAAAAAAAAAATGAGGGTGGTCTGATCCGAGGTCTTAACATCAGTTAAAAAGAATTCTGCTGTTGAATGCTAACTGGCGTAGCAAATCCAATGCTCAGATTCCCATGTCTTATTTGGAAACATTTCTGTCTGCCYGTCTTTCTAAAATTTAGCATGATATTCTGTAGAAAGAAAATAAATATCATTTAATCTTTTATGCAATCAGCTGAGACRGTGCCAATACATTCATTTGAAAACACATTTGTATCTTTCAGTTAGTGATCCTTAGGGTCAAGGCCTYCCATTGAAAAGCTTAGCTGTACTGTAGAAGAAACCTTGAAATGTGAGGCTGTCTTCTGGTCAAACTAAGTAGACCTTTAGAATGCCTTGACTCTAAATCTCTTCACTCTGCCTTTGRCTGCTTTGAGGCCCCGTGATATTTACTGGCCTTGGGAATTATTCCTTCTAGTGCTTCTAATGCCTGTCTCTCTCCTTCGCCCCCCAAATCTTGCTAACTACAGCCATGCTGGTATCGTTCCCTTTGGCTCGCATCGTGCTGCTGTCACCTTCCTTTCTGACCTCCTTTTTAACTGTGTATGGAGACTGTAACATGATGGCTGCAAGGATTGAAGAAAAAAATGTTCCTTTTTCCTTTCTTAAAATGAGTGTCTTTCACAGGAGCATCATTACACACTTGCTTTTTGTTCCGAACTTGATAAAGTAAGAAAGATGCTTTCAAACATTTTGCAGTCTTTTTTTAGTATATGACAAGAGTAAGGACRTAATTTTCTTCTATTTGCTGCTCTGGACATATAAGGATAAACTTTACTGCAGCTTGGTCACCTGTAAAACATATATCTGTCTGAAGAATATGGTCTCATTAGCTTTTTGTATTTTTGCTATAATCAGAATGTTCAAATTATAGGCATACAGTTGTTCAAATTGTAGCCATACTTGGGTTTAAACAATGCCTTTGGTTTTCACAAAAATAATATTAATTGTAAAATTAAATTGCAATTTAAAAACTAAATACAATAAGCCATCTCATTTGACRGGAAACAAACCACCCTGCAGCACAGCATGTTAGAAGAATCAGATCTCACAGACCCTGAAGCTGGTCATTTGTTAGAAACTTTTGAACTGTCTTAAATTTTCTTACCTTTCAGCAAGATAATTAATTTGCTGTGGTCTCATCTATCTCTTTTACATATATTACAAAAAAAAAAAAAAAGATTCCAAAGTGAACAGCATGAGAATGTTGTCTGAAGAAATCAAATGAGATGATCAAGCAGAAATATACCTCCAAGGATAACATAGTCCTTGCTTCTAAGCAAATTATACCTGTTGAGTTGTTTGAGTAAAACTATTTTTGCATGGCAGATATTTAGCTCACAGTACCGTTGTTACTTACTTCATTTTACTGCCCTTTTCTACCACAAGGAAGTTCCCAGTCTCACTGACGTAATCTCTCCTCATAGAACTTCAATTGCAAATATATATATATATTTAAAGGTATTTAATAAATTCTTCATTCATTTTTAAAGWAAAAAAAAAAGGAAACTTTCTCTCTGAATCTAGTGTTATGTGTATGCTGCAGGGAATACCTCCCTCTCCCTTCCACCTGCTTCTGTGGGTCTTCCACAGCTGGCTTGGAGTAGGAACTATAGGTTGCCTTAGTGCATCATATATGTTATGGGCTGGCACAAATGTTTCTAAGAGGATGTATGCAGTTGTGCAAATTTTCTTGCTTTAGAAAGCCTCAGAACCACTGTCACAGTGAGAAAATGTCATGCTATTATTTAAGCAGTTGTCTAGCCTCTTATTATTCTTCAAAGGAAAAAAAAAAAGAAAGGAAAGGTATGCTAACCTCTTCCTTTTGTTACGTGCCTTAAGCAACTAGACATTTTTATCCTAGTACTTTCTAGCAAGGATATAAATGAAACCCCATTTAATGGTCAACAGAGTAGCTCCTGACAGCCCAATGACCAAGGATGCTTTGTCTTTTTGGAATTGTTTCTTCCAAACCGCTCTTTCTAACTTTTCACAGGTTTCATCTTAGCTTTGTTAGCCTCCTTACCAGGTTGTTTACTTGTCAAATAAGAATTTGTTGTACTTAAATATCTATAGATACATACATTTTTTTCCAAATATTATATATTCCAAATATTCCATATCTTGCATACAGTACACTTTATATCTCTGCATTTGGCCTCAGCTGCCCTTTTTCCTTTTTAGAATTAAGCTGGACAGCTTTAAATTTTATTCCCTTGAAATGTTTTTTAAAATTCAGCTTTATGTTTCCCATGTTTCATAGGATTCCAGTAAAAATTCCTTAGGGCATATCACGTTCTCCCAAAGTCAGCTTTTTTAAAGTCAAAACCATTTGTGAACTCCTAATGCGTGTTCCTGCCCTAAAGAGTATTTAAGATTTAGCAAAAGCATGATCACAAACCTTAATGCCAAGAACTTTATTTTTCATACAAGCTTCATTTCCTACTCTTAATTTCAGAGCAGCCTGTGACTGTAARCTGCTCAGATGTCTGTACAAGGAAACACGTGCTTCCCTTCTTCAAGGACCTTGTTGCTCATCAGTGTCAGTATGTGGCCTATATTAATAATCATGAAAATGAAATGGCAGCATTCAAGGAAGAATAACCTTCAGATAA